GGAATTTGTTTCACATTCCTGGCGTCTAGGCTGGGGAGAAAACAGTGGGGAGCGCGGCCTCGACGTCTGGGGCGCAAGCAGCGGGCGCACGTCGCCCCCTCGCCAGGGACATCTGTCCAGGAAGCCATCCTGGCGGGGAGAGGGCGCGGTGCGGAGGGCAGGCTCCCCGCCCGGGAGCAGCGGGGGCGCGGACGAGGGGCTGCGGCTTTCCCGGCTATTGTGCGCCAGCAGATTTTCACGGGAGACTGCCCCGGAGCCGCTGGAGAAGGCTGGGAGCCGGCCTCAGCCCGGGGTTTAAAAGACACTTCAGGAATGTAAACAACCCGGGCGGGAGCGCGCCAGGGCAGCCGGCCCATGCCCCCCACCCCTTCCCGGGGGACAGCCCGATGGCGGGGCCGCCTGACCCTGCCCCTCTACCTGCAGCAAACTTTTTCTTCCTCTGCTTCCCTTCCCATCTCGCCCCTCTGGCGGGGCACAGAGCGAGTGCCTCTCTCCGAGCGCAGACCGAGGGTGTCTGGCACCCGGTGCGGGACCCCAGAGGCCTGGCGGCCTGGCCACAGCTTGGGTGTCCGGAGTCCTGGCTGCGTCTGCCTGGGAGCCGCCAGCTTCCTGGGCAGGCAGTGCCGGAGTAATCGGGGCTCCGAGAGCCTACTCGCTTCCCTCACTCCCTCCTTTCCTCCCTCCCGCTGCTCCCCCCCCCCACCCCGCCCGCTCTCCCCCTTCTCCTCTCCCCTGACTGCTTTTCCAATGCCCTGACATGAGGGAGGAAGATTTAACTTGGCAGCCCAAACAAATGTTCTCTCAGAGGTCCTCCGAGAAGCTGGCGACTGGGCTGGCAGGGTGAGGGCATTGCTCCGCCAGCATTTCCCCCGCTCCCTGCTCTGCCATGGTCATTTGGAGCCCCCTGGGTAGATAGCCCAGGGCTTGGAAGAGTAGGGCTAAACTCCACAGATTTAAAAGGGCAATGGGAAGCCACCTATGGAAGCCCCCGGCTTGGCACTGGGCAGGAGCCACCTGGAGCTGCCTTCTGGTGCCAAGGGTTTTCTGGAGCACTTTTCTTGAGCAACAGTTTGTCTCCCTGCAACCGGGGAAAGGGCCTGGTGGACCAGAAGGCTAACCAGTGCAGTCTCCTCCTCCCTGTGGGTGTGAAGACAGGCTGGTTACACAGGGCAGGGCAGGAGGCCAGAGGCTGTTCCCAGAGGTGTCTGGGTTTGCTTATTTTTGTTTTTTTTGAAGGTGGAGATAAAGAAGCAGGCGCTGTGGCTGCAGAATGGGCAGCTTGGCTGGTGATGAACTCCGACTTGCCTTCCCTGGCATTTGTATGCTCCCAGGAGTTTAGAAGAGAGAGCAAGCCCCTAACTTTCTTGGTCCTGGCTGCTTTTTGAGGGGGTCCAGATTGGGGAGAGTTCCTTGCCCCTCGCTTCCTGGCCTTGGTTTGTGAATGCCCCAAGCCTTGTGCTGATCTTTCTTTCTTCAAGTTGAGGATGTTGAAACACCAGCATCAAACAAAAGACACATTGAAAGCAATGTCTGCCACAGAGCACGTGTGACTTTGGGGCCAAGGGAATGCATTTGGAAAGAGATGGTGTTTTCTTCTGACTTTTATGGTTTTGGTTGGGTTTTATTTTTCCCAAAAGGACAGAAGCATCTCCTTGTCCCAAGTCATGAGGTTATGAAATGCTGTATTCACATGTAAATCTCCACACTTTAGACTTCTGTAATTTGGTGGCAGTGACTGGGGGGTGGGGGGTGGGGTGGGCACAGTAGGGAGATTTCATAACTTTTAAATGGTTTTTGGATTGAGTTTTGAGGCATTCAGGGTATGGCTCACAGAGAAGAGTTGGGAATAAGAGTTGCTGGACTTTATGGGAAACTTTGATAACTAGCCTTGCCTATGCAGAAGGGGATTGCTGGCTTCTTTGTGGGGACAAAATGTCCCTTTTTCCTCCTCAGGAAAGAAGGAAGGCAGATCTTCCTTCCTTTCACAGCCAGGAGCAAAGTAAAGAAAGGTCCAGAGACTTTGGGCACATAACCAAGGTTTCTCTCTTTCTAATTCTCTCTCTCTCCCTCTCTCTCTCTGTCTCTCTCTCTCTGTCTCTCTCTGTCTCTCTCTGTCTCTCTCTGTCTCTCTGTCTCTCTCTCTCTCTCTCTCTCTCTCTCACTCTCTCTCTGTCTCTCTGTCTCTCTGTCTCTCTCTGTCTCTCTGTTTCTGTCTCTCTCTCCCCTGGTGACAGTCACCCAACAGTATCTCCATTCCTGGCCCTCAGAGATGTGCCCCAACTGGACAGGTGTCCACTGTCAACTCATCCTGGAAAATTGCTGAGGGAAGGACTCAACTGAGAAGAGCTGCAGACTTCACTTTTTTCCGATTGACAGAGATGGGAGGTGGATAAAGAAGGAAGACACTTTGAGGCCTGCTGTGTCCTGAGAGTTTTGTCACAAGAGTGCCCATGTGTGAAGCCATCAATACTGAGTTATCTGGCCGCGGCCAGGGTCCAACAAGCAGCTGTGACCCCAGCCTCAGGGAGAGACATTGCTGTAAGAAATTAGGGCACCAACAAGTTAATTTCTAGAAGCTTCTCTGGGCACTCTGTCACGGAACCAGGAAGCAGGGCCTGCCAGGCAGTGACTGAGTTCCATACGTTTTCATTCATAACTTTGCCCCTGAGGGCCCTTGCCTGGCTCCTATCACTACCTCATCTTTATGAGGTTCCTTAGGTTTTGTGTGGACAACAAAGGCCGGACTGCCGTAATTACTTTGGACACTGCTGCAGCCTTCTCTGGTGACTACTCTGACCTCTCAGCAGGACACGGTGGCCCATGCCTGGGAGGAGGGGTCTCTTTGTCCCTAGAGCCCCTGAGGGTGGAGGGATACGGAGCCTGACTGGGCTGTGAGCTCCAGGGGTGATTCTGAGGTTTGGCCTTGCCCTCAGGGAGGATGAAGGGAGGCTCAGAAAACCAGGCACAGGCACAGGCTTTGGGAGAAGAGTCCAGAAATCTATTGTGATTATGTGGGTCTTCTCATTACCTGAGGATATGGGGGAGAGGTGTCAGAAGGCTGTAGCTGGCTGACCGCTTTGGGTCAGTAGCTTCACTCTGCTAGGCTTCAGTCTCCCCATCTGTAAAAAGGGTTCCACCTACCCACTTGGTTGCTGTGAAGATGAGGCAGATGTTGTCATGAGAGCCCTGTCCTTTAAAGGCCTGGCAGGCTCTGGGCACAAAATGGATTGAGCACAAAGGGATTAAAATGGAGGTGCTAGAAGCATTTTTCAAAAGCTGCTCTCTCATCTAAGCCTACACCCTAACAGCTCATTGTCTTGCCTTGGTTTGCATGCCCCCCATGACAGGGTGCTCACCACCTATGGGCAGCCTCTGCCTTCAGTGGACATCTCTGGCTGTTTGCATGTTCTACTGCATGGCATACCTTCTGAAAATCAAGCCCTGACCCTCTTTATGGTTTTGAGGTGCTGGGGGTCCTCTAGACCATAGACTCATTCTTTCCTGAATGAGCGTAGGTTCACGACCAGTGCCCAGGTGGTCCATACTGACATGGAATGTGGGGGATACCCTTCTAGTGGCTGCTTCCAGCCCTTATTGGGAGTGACCTATGGGGAGTGGGCAAGGGTCCACTTGAGGGGCTCACTGTTGTCTTTGTGTGCCGGGTTTGCCTTTTGGCTCTTTCTCTCCTTGGGTTGTATATAAGGAGAAGGAAGGAGACACATAACAGGTGGTGAGTTTGGGTCCAGGGCCCAGCGTTGATGCTGCAGATATTTCCTGAGAGTCCACAGTGTGAGGACCGTGGCCTGTGAGAGACCCAGAAATGTGTAAGACAGTTCTGTTCCTTAGGCGTTTACAGTCCAGTCAGGATAGGATGATCAGTTTAAATCAATAATTAACCACCAGCAGCTGCCTGCTTGCCATGGGGCACATGATAACCACTGCCCCTCACCTTTGCGTGGTACTTGATAGATTTGGAAGCAGTTTCCAACTTTTTTTTAAAACTCCAATAATAACAGTGTAAGCCAGCTACCATTTGGAATTACTCCCATTTAACAGAGAAGAAAACTGAGGTTCACAGATGTGAAATGACTGTGGCTA